ACCTGCTCCAGTGTCACTTTGTGCACCACAAATCCCACATGACCAATCCTTGGATTTAACCTAGGACACCAGAGTGGTAAGCCAGTGACTAACTGCCTGAACTATGGCTTTGCCTGATGGTCTGTGTCACTATCTAATGATGCAGTCTCAGAAATGTTTTAGATGCACAGAATTCTTAGCAGTGGTTTAGAAATTTAAACAGGAAGTACAAATGGTGTTATCCAAACATTTGTTTTGTTAACTTACAGAGTGATTCAGATGATGTGATATCAACAGGAGTCCACCGTCAGCTCACTCCATTGACCCGTAAAACTCGTCCAGTTGCTCATCTTCATGGAAATATTGAATCAGATTCATTCAATGAGAATTTTTCACCTATACATCCAAATACACGAAGGTATCTGTAAGAAGTCTCCATGACTGAATTATTTTACATGGTTCATATAAGTAGTAGTCTGTTTACATCAGCCTGATTAGTGTTGTTCCTGTTATGTTGGCAACCCTCTAATGTTAAAATATAATGCTAGAATTGGCAACGTCATAGTAAACAATTTTCAACAATAGACTGCGCTACAATTGCTGTTCCTAATGTCTCTATTGTTATGTGTTACTATGGTTATGTGTGTAAAAACAGAATTTCTCAATTGTTATGTGTTACCATGGTTATGTGTGTGAATATATATAAAACACTTTTTGTGTATCAAAAGTTAGTCTTAATAAAGCAGGGTTATACCGAACACTGATTCTTACTTATCATTCGATCCACGTAGAAGCCAAAATAACAGTTCCAGTATATTGTTTGGATATAATGTTGCTAACTAGGAGGAAAGATGAATTTTCATAATCTTGTATTTTAGCGACCTGTTGCACTAATCTTCGTCCATGATATGTAAGCAATGTCTGGCTTTTAGTGCACTCAATTTTACTTGTTACTTCACAACATATTTCGGCACTACAGTGCCATCATCAGGTGCTCTATTTACGTCAATCTATTTCATTGCTTGCCATTATGTCATTGTAAAATTTACAACACGCGCAACCAAATGGAACACGCAACACGAGACACGATATACCCTGAGAATAAGAGGAACGATTCCCATAGGTGTGAAACTATGCGTGGTGTTAGAATTGGGACAGATAAGATAAATAATCTTAACAAGTTTTTAGTATATATATTTATTATAATTGACGAACATTTTTAAATACTTTTTAAATTTTACAATGACGTAATGGCAAGCAATGAAATAGATTGACTTAAATAGAGCACCTGATGATGGCACTGTAGTGCCGAAACATGTTGTGAAGTGACAAGTAAAATTGAGTGCACTAAAAAATGGACATTGCTTACATATCATGGATGAAGATGAATTTTGATTAATGTCATTCTTGACCAGAATATTATAATATGTATTCAAGAAGTTACAGCAGAACTCAGAGATTTGACACATGTGATACTGAAGCTTGCCGTTGGGCATGGTACTGAGCCATTTCCATTAATCTTTAATTGTGGCTCCTGGAATGTTCATCTGTTGTTCTTACATCTCCTTAGTATTCCATTTTTGGAAGAGCCACGCCATAGCTCAAGGGGTTAGTCACTGGCTTCCTACTGCAGCAGCCCTGGTTTGATCCTGGGTCTGGTCAAGTGAGATTTGTGGTGGACAAAGTGGCACTGGGGTGGGTTTTCTCTGAGTACTTCGGTTTCCCCCGCCAATCTTAATTCCATCAAATTCTCCATCATCATAATCACCCTGGACAGGCAACAATAGGCCAATCAGTGGCTGCCGTGCCAAGTTTAACCAGTTGGTCTCCACCTCCCACTATGCGAATTTAAAAAAAAAAAAACATTTTTGGAGAGTCATCTCCACCCAAATTCTGTATTCCTTTCTTGTTACATTAAAAGCAGTACTGTTTCACATTTTAAAATGTCTGTAATCTCTGAGTTAAACACACTGGCAATAATTTACTGTGTATTTGTGATGTGCAGGAAACGGAAGTTCAAACGGATGGCAGTGGATGCAGTTGAGATGGACAATCCGTCCACATCACATGCAACGGTAACTGTAATGCCGTTATCCAGTGGGAAGAAGAAACGAGTGGTGAAACATTCCCCCAACTGTGAGAACAAGTGAGGCAAATTGGGTTTGAGAGAATGATATTTAGTATGTACATGAGTCAGATGATTGTCTAACTACAGCACATGCTTAGGATCAATGTATGCTATGCAGGTCAGATGAGTAGCTTGCTGGGATGGGAGTTGGCCTAGCTGCCTTCTGTTTACCCATCATCAATTCTTCTTATTTATATGTGATATATCTGAATTTTTGTTCTTTCATAGTGTGGTATGTCACATGAAGAGACAACCACTAGTTGAACAGTCCTACAGTATTTATTACAGTTGCACTGTGTACACAGACGAACTTGCGTTTGAAGAATTGAAGAATAATAATAACAGTAATGAACACACTGAACCAGAATTGTAGAACTGTAGAATCTAGAACTGTAAGTCAGAGTCAGAGTTACTTTGCAACTGACGGTCAGTCAGTCAGTAAGTCTTGGTGTCAAGCCCCATTTGGGGCTCATGACCAGATATTAATTATTATCATTTGACAGTTACGGTCTTGTTTCTGTGGGGCACCTTCTCTGAGGAGAGGACGGGTCTGTCTTCTGTATATGCTGCTGGCTCTTGCCAGCGCAGTCTTTCTCGGGTCCAAGTCCCTTGGGACTCACGACCATAATTTACTGTCTCAGAATTGAGACTTGAGAGAGAGAGAGAGAGAGACACACACACACATACACACACACACTTATGGATCATCTTCAGAGGGAACATCAATACTTATTCGGAAACCACCATCACAATAGGTGTTCTGATTGCTAAATTACATACACACATAATGCCTGGAATACACAATGTACACAATATTCAACTTTTCACAATCACAGCAGCCTTCCTGGTACAAAAACTTTTAAAGTGTTTAAAAAATTTAGCTTACCTGGACTTAAATATATTTAATTGACACAGACAAATAGAAATGGAAATATACAGAAAACCCACGACGTGCCACCCTAAAGAACAAAAATTGCCAGCATATAGAAATTGGATACACAGACTTCTTACACTACCCCTTGAGGAAAATGCTAAAAACAAGAATTAAATACTATTATTAATATAACACTAAATAATGGCTATAGAAAGGAAGACATCACACATCTATATAACAAACTTAAGCGGAAGATGGGTAACCCAGATAATAAAGACGAGAAGGAACAAAATGGGTCACTTCTACTTATACAGGAAATAACATACGAAAAATCACAAAACTATTCAAAAACACTAACATAAAGACAGTCTTCAAAACAGCCAACACAATAGATAAACTAATAAATGAAAAACGAGAAATAAACCCCTGCGAACAAAGTGGGATATAGGAAATAACATGCCAAAGTTGCCAAAAATCCTAGAACTGTAACTGTAACTGTATCTTCCTATGTATCCTAGAGTCGGACATATAGAAAACCAGTCACTGTCCTTATTGTTGTGGGCTTTGCCTAGCTACTGCTGTTTACTCATCCTTGCTAAGCAATGACGCTTGCGTTATCACACTTGCATGAATGTGGGCAGTTCCCACAGTAGTTTTATGAAGTTTATTGTCACTGAAAATTTTGTTACGCAAAGTTTGAAATTGTGGAGATAAGATTTGTGGTCCTCTGGGTCATGAGTCTGTGTAATTTGGCACGCAGGTACAAACATTTCAGACAAACCTGCTGCCCCCATCTTCAGGTTAGAAGAAAACTCTTCTTCTACGCTGAAGTTGGAAGTAGCACATTCCTCTAAAATATCCATACCTGTATGTAAGATTTGAGGCTTTCACAGCGGTGACTATGAAGAAAGCAGTCTTCTGGGATTTGGCACCGTGTATATGTGGTGTTAACCGACGTTTCGGAGGAACGTATCGCCTCCATCTTCAGGGTAGAAGAAAAAAATATAAGAAATCTGCAAGCGGAGAGACCGTGAGAACCGGTAAAAGCAGCTTTTACCGGTTCTCACGGTCTCTCCGCTTGCAGATTTCTTATATTTTTTTCTTCTACCCTGAAGATGGAGGCGATACGTTCCTCCGAAACGTCGGTTAACACCACATATACACAGTGCCAAATCCCAGAAGACTGCTTTCTTAATATCCATACCTGTCTACAGAAGTACCTAAGTACCCCAGAAAACTGTTACTATTCACAATGAGAAATCAGATCATGTGTGTGAAATTGTGGCTTCTTTATTTTATTTAAGTCATTACCATTATTATGTAGTTCAGTTGGTTGTTATTCTTAATGAAATTGATGAGATCTGTCTTATTAACATAATGGAAATATACTGTAAGTGAGGAGATAATTAAGATCTTGGAGGGGGAGTTATTTTATGACACTCAGTAGCTACACTGTATAGCATCAAACAGTAGGATGATAGATGAGTAATGAGCTCGGAAGGATTCAAAAGGAAGTGAGCATGTTCTAATCGCGGTACCACTCTGGTATTTTTTGTGGAGGGGCTGAGAAAAACAACGAGAAACGTAAATCAGGATAGCTGGTGTCCTGGCCAAGGTTTAGATCAAGCATATACCAAATGTGACTTTAAGAGTGTTACTTTGATGTTAACCATTTTGGTAATTAAGCTATTCCTTTGAGCAGAACATTGACTGATCTCTCTTACAAGTAACTGTATTCTTACTGCATCTTACTTTACTCTTCTGTATACAAACTGATATGGAAGTTCTGCTTATTATTTGTATATTGGGGCCCAGGAACTTCAGTGTACCGATAATTTACAGGCTAGACAACTCATTCGTACCACCACATCTTCACTCACAAAAACTCATATGCAGTGAGTCACAGCATTTCATTCGCTGAAGGTACGGTGTCTAAGGCATGGAGCTGACAGCCCCTTCTGCCTCCTGCTGAGGTTGACATGTTCACTACCAGTTCTATCACTTGACTGGTTGAAGTGCACCTCCTACTAATCCCATCAAGTGATGGGCTGTTGCCATTGTACACATAGACATCTGTTCCTCCCACAGATGCCATCTGATGTAGAGAAACTCATGTAAATTATCACACATCAAAAGAATTACAATATACAGCAAATGTTGGTGGTTTTTCACTTACTCTTTTCACACACATATAATAAGTTCAGAGTCCAGTTTTGATGAAAAATGGCTGGTCCAGCATGTGATTTGGCAGGAAATATGTTAATGGCTGTAGGTATATATCCAGTCTGCAGCATTTCTTCTTAGTGGGGCATTTAATTAAGCATAATGAAAAATTTATGGTGTTCAGGTACAATAACCTTCTGTGTGGCAAGAGGAAACGCAGCATGCGAGAGAGAAGCGTTGACTGTGATAGACCCACTGCAGGCAGCAGATCCAAAACTTCGCAGATTCTGGCCATTCACAAGATGAGCCTGAGTAATCCAGATGAGGCTCACATGGATTTTGATGCAGCAGCTGCCACCCACTGGTAAGTCTATTTACCAAGGGAAGCAGAATGAAGCTTGAAACCATAAATGATCTTCGACATGCCGGATGGCTGAGGAATCGACATTTGGTTACCTGCAGTGGCAAGAGATTTGAATCTTCACAGCATCCAGAATGGTTTGGGGGAGGGGGGGCATCCAGCCTCTTGTCTCTTTCTCTGGCAGCAAAGCTGACCACTCGCCTCCATCTAATGTTGAGGTTAAGAATACATGGAACCATACCTCCACTCCTTCATATGACCTACATGGTGTGGTTAATTAAGAACAAGGAAAATATTAGCTTTTGTCTTATTTTTCTCCTTGTTTTCAGTGAGATCATGAGCAGTAGCAGTTTAAGTAGCTCGGAAAGTGATGCTGGATTGTACACGAATGATGAAGGACGAGAAGGTAAGAGCATATATATTTTAACATGTTGGTTTGCTCTTGTAAACTGGATAATGGAATTTTATACTTTCATAGCTAATATTATTTTGCCATTGTCACTTGTGGTAAGAAGTTTTGAGTTTGCCAGGCCCATGAGCATGAAGATCACTGTTTTGTGGGAAACAGTGCCATGTAGGCTGACAGAAAGTTGCCAGATTTTCTGAAGAATCTCCTGCCCCCCATCTTCGAAGTAGAAGACAAGGACAGCAGGTTCCTGCAGATCAACTGCAACTTTCTACCAGCGTATATAATCATCGCATCACAGAAGAAGCAGTAAATTTTAAGAAAGGAAAATATCTAAAACTGGGGTCATTAAACAGGAACCAGTTGTAAAATTACAAGGAAATTTATAGATTTAAGAGTACAGAACTATGGAAATGCACTATCTGTAGATGCTTTTGAGAGCATGCAAGATTACAGAGACTGTTAAACACTATCATTGTACAGTGAAACCTTTAGTTCATATTTTTGAAAGGATCAAGGAAACTTTAAAATGAGGGCAGTGAAAAATGGTGAAACATAGAAATATGGGTTGCAGTCATCAGAACCTGCAAGGTTTTCTGTCCCTAGACAAGCAGCGATGTGCAAGGTCCCCTCCTTCAAGTGTGTGCTATCTGTGGAAACATTATTCACACATGAGTGGTTAAATCATGCAAAAAGATTTTATTCCAGTTTCTCCATCAGAAAAACTTTCCAAATATTTATGCTGCTTGGAGAAAAGTCCACACTGGGCATATCATCTTTCAATTTCCTCATGGTGTGTCTGTCACAATTGTGTTTAGTGTGGACACTGAAGGTCCCAACCTCTGCCAGTTCAACATACATTCTAGTATGTGCATTAACTTGTGCTGTACTACTAATTTTATCATTTGTTATAAGTGAAAAAAGGTAAATCTATGCCTGTAACAGGCCGTGCAGGCCCATAGGCTTGTGAGATGTCAAGGCTCCAACATTTTCAAGGCAGTCGGACATGAGGGAAACAGCACTGATGTTTCTTTAAGTTGTTTCAAGCAGAGCATTTTAAACATAAGTAATGTAGATTTCTGTTGCTAGGGCTGAAAACTAAAATGCAGATTTTTAGAAAACATAAAATTTGGTTAAAATTTAATGTTGTTACTATGAGATTTTGCCCAGGATCAACAAAAACAAACTCTGAGAGCACAAAATCGAAGTTTCAGTGTACAGTTTAAGTCTTTCTTAGCGATGAGTACTTAATGCTTCAACACAATGATTTTCAATGCAGGGGATGATGAACAAAGTGACTGGTGGGGTGGAGATGCAGGGTCAGTATGTGGAAAAGGCTTTTGGGATGATGACGAGGGTGACCAGACCTCAGGGGCCTCACAAGGGGGCGCTGACAGAGGAACAGATGCGGATGAGGACAGTGATCCTGCTTTCCATGCGATTCTCACCGGAAGTTTTGAGCATCTTTCTGAAGAGGCAAAGCAGGCTTATCGTGTTCACATGCAGTGGATCAGAGAAGGATTAGTGAGTACAATTTTATGTTCTAACAGCAGTCGACATTAAGATTACAGTCTTCTGAAACATGACACCATGTAGTTTGGTAGATAGGTGCCTGCCTACCAAGTTACACAGTGTCACTTCCTAAAACACATTAACCTTTATCCTACGGCCCTTTAAACTTAGGTTGTGGCAACGGTACGGAGTTCTTTAAATGGCCGCTATTTGAGATTCGTGAAAATTGTAGTCACTTACTAATTTTGCTCCTATTTCTGCTATTTCTGTGATAATCGAACGAAATAAACGCTGTTTTTTTCTCGAAAGAATATAGAATCAGATATTGTAATTTACAGATTGTATAAAACATGTTAAAATTTTTGCACTGACACCAAAGGAGAATTTTCGCAATTTCTTGTTTCTGAGCAAGAATTCATACGTTCTGGACACCCCTGAATGGAAGTTGCTGATGACGACACTTGTGCATGTCACGGTAACACCGGATGTTGAGTCTAGAGACGTTATCGCAGTCTATGTGACGAGCTTCAACTTGAATGTGGTCAGTGGAAGAGAGATATAAACTCACGTGTTGTTTATAGATCTCTCCTGAACAATACGTATACTGTTCTTCTACAGTTCCATGCTAGCATTCTTTATGCATGCGTTGTCGTTGCCGTACTAACACAGCGTAATAGCTTAGTGGCTGGACGTGTTCAGTCGAGAGTAATTTCAAATTTCGTTCGTAACATGTGGTCCGTGTCGTTTGGGATATTCTGACATATTGCAGCTAATCAATGCCTCCGATACAGAATCCTGTACCGACAATTCTGAGAGTGACGTTGAAGGTAGCAAATCATAAAGTGATTTCGAAGAAGACCCATAATCTTCGTCGGCAACCTGGGGAGCACGACACCAGCGTGGCACGAGGAGTGTGAATAATTATTCAGATGGAGCTGTGGGCAAACTGTGGCAAACAGTTATAGCATCTGTCGTCGAACCTGGAAATGGACAAATAAGCTATTTCTCCATCTCCTTGGTCTGAACAGTTACATCCTGTTGTCACACAGAGAATTTCGTCTCGCTCTTGTGCGGAACATGCTGTTAGGGGTCCCCCTCGCCATCAACGGCCAGGGGTCGAACCCCTGCCGTTTTATGGGAGATATCTCGACTATAGAAGGCCAAACCACATCACTGGCCGACTTGCTATACTTCGCAATTGAGGTGTCGTGTGTGCTTTTCGCGTGGGACACGAAAGACCGCCCGGACAAAGTGCGTGAATTGCGAAATCGGACTCTGCATTTCCGGATTTTTTGAGAATTCCACACGAAGGCAACATTCCGGCAGATGACGCAGGCGGGAAGACAGACACTCCATGCAGATGGTGGCCAAAAATTATGTAAGTAGGACATAATTTTCTACTTTAAAATTTAATTTTATATAACGTTGCCACGCGCGGACTCTGCGACATCATATGTCGTCATTCGTACCAGGGACATTCTTTTAACGACGACATACGTTGTCTTTAGTCGTTTAAAGGTTAACGTTAAGGATCTATTAGTTACCAATTGTGTATATTTGTAACAGTATTTGTAGTTGTATGAAGATTGTTCAATTGAAACCCACTCATAGATTGTTCTGACTGAAGAGCTAGAGGCCCTGAAGAGTAATTCCCATTTCTATTGAGGCAGCCATCATGTTGGCACACATAAATGGATGCTGTCTGCAAAGCACTTCTTGGGCTGCTGCTGGAATCACTGCAGTAACATGGCCCTCACATCTTCATCAAGCTGAATGTACAGCCAATTTTCATGTTCTTGAGGGGGTCAGACACATGGCAGTCACATGGTGACAGGTCCATGCTGTGTACTACCAGCATGTGGAGCACAGGTGTCCTGGATAGTGTGGGCCACTTGGCAACATGCATCATGCAGTGCGATATAACCCCCCTCATGAGCATGCCAGTGTGGTCTCTCTTGGTGACAGTTCCACATGAGCACAGGGTTGTTGAATGTCAGCAGCAGTGTTCTGTTTGAAGGGATTCTCTTTCTGAGACGCTGACATTGAACCATCTCATGTTGTTCCTACTTGCTTTGATGCACCTGTTCTCTAGCACAGCCTATGATCACCTGCTGTTGTGTTATGCCATCACATGATCAGCTGTAATTGGCTGTATTTAGTAGTGGTGCCATGGGTTTTGTCTCAGAACCCTCGTACTTATACAACACATACAAATCATCTTGCTCTGTTTTGAAGTCCTCACATCTTTATCACATCTAGGTTATGATAATATGTAGTGTAATACATCGTTACCAACATTTATAGGAACATTCCACCTCCAGCTTCTACTTTGATACATTATTGCTGCACTGAAGATGGAAGCACCTTGTTTCTCCAAAACTTTGTCACCCACCCACCATGCCACATGGCATCACCAAGCAAGTTGGTTCTGGCAATAATGCTTCTAACATGTATTCCAGAGGTAACCAATTTGAATCTTTGCTGAGTCAGTGACTGTCCTGACATTATGTTTTCCTGAATCCCTCCAAACAAAGACTGGGATAGTGCATGGCATACATCACAGCCATTTCCTTCCATATCCTTTCCAGATCATCAGTCATTAAATCATCCTGCCATTAGGCAACACCGTATATTCTGAGGTACTGTCAGCATTGTTAAATAAACCATAATACATCCAGATTTTTCCTTTAATGCCTCTCCTGTTTTGATGTGCAATGGAAGGATGTCAAGTCTATGTCATCCAGATGTGAAGAAGACAAGGCAGTATCCATATAGTAAATGCTTTCAAAGTAAACGCACAAACAGATCATTCACATTGCTGTATACTTCTTAGAGTGGACGAGAGATTCGAGCTGGTAGGAGACGGATACGAGGCGAGAGGCCAGGCTTCAGTATTGTCACATCAGCGAATGAGAAACTGTCACGTTTCCTTCAGGATCCTGGACAGTCAGAACTGAGGTAACTGTCAACTTTAGTTGTTTAACACTTGTATGAAAATAATGTCAGGATAATTTTAAAAATATTTTTATTAGCAAAATACAGTATTCATGGTTACTGAGTTTTTTGATTTGTCTGTCATTCGCATTTGTAAAGAACACAATACCTCTATCAGACCCAGCACAGTAGGTGCTTTCCAGCCATCCACCTGAGGATGGAGAAATATATTCTGTAGAATATCAGTTGATGGACAAAGTACAAATCTCTGTAATCCTGAGTATTATACATCATCATCAGAGCTCTCTAGAATTGACCTGTATAGTGTTATAGGTGATACCAATATTTTGAAGGAACATACTGCCTCCATCTTCAGGATCAAATGAGCAGGACAGGGTTATGTAAGCAGTTTGCAGGGAAGGTGGTCACTCAAGTTTGCAGGTGGGGGAAATAGGGTGGAGGCTATTTCGGGCCAATATTGATGGTGAACAGGAATTTCGAGAGCAAAAATCGGCCTTGATTAGGTACCAAAATAGTAGGATGTGTATGGAATTGTGAACCCTGCTCTACCCTGAAGATAGAAGCAGTATATTCCTCTAAAATGATGGTAAATGTTAGCAGACTGTAGAATGTCCCCAAAGATGAGAATATTCATAACTGCCATTATGAGAATGTCAAATCTTACTTTTCCGCATGTGTCACAGACATCAAGAATGATAATGCTAATGTAAGGATATCTTTATTTTTCATTCACAATTAATTTAGTTTACTTATGTGGAAAGAAAATGCATTAACTGAAAAGAACTTCTGGTTTACAGTAATGAAACAAAACTTCTTGCTAACTTGTTGTCATGTAAGTATAACTGCAAAATAAATAAACATCTATAAAATTCCTGGGTCTGATGAAAAAAAATTCTGTTATGGACCACAATGTTAATATTCTAAAATGAATACCCTCTAAATAATATCAAAACATTGTTGTTCTTTCCATTTTGTAATATTGGAAGCTTATTTGTTGTTTCTCTGGATCTTCAAGTATGGTTTGTGTTGTAGGAGACACCCACATTGAATAAAGTGGAAACCAATGGGTGATGGAGCTGCCATGGTCTGCACTGATTGGCTAGCACTTGATTCAGTGTGGGTGGCTGCCAAATTGTTTACCCTCTGACCTCTGCCCACCTGGGCACAGACACAGAATCCAGTTCTGAGATGAGGTCACTCATGGGACAAGTCTGTAATGGAAGTTTTGTTATGTGTAAAAGTCCTTAAGCAGTGTCCCATAGTGATGTCTGGAAGAGTTTGTTCTGCTCTGTTTTGTGGTGTTACTTGTGTATGGATATGCTCCTCTCTTCAGTTTTTTATTTTAGGCTTCATCCTATGCAAAAGCAGGAACGAGACCAGTTATGCCACTTAGCAAACCTGTACTCTCTCCAAATGACAAGTGATCCAAATCGACTGACCTGCCCTGTACTCACTAAAACCAGGTACAAATAGAACCTCTGTTTTACAGTTGTCTTTTTAAGGGACCACTTCATGCTTTTCTTGATGACATGTGATGACTGCCATATTGCAGGAATACAATGCAAGCCGTTCGTGTGGAACAAGTTCGTCTCACAAGGCTACAAGCTCGACTTCATCATCTCAACGACTTCAAGAGAAGGCGCAAGATGCCTCCTGGTGCTGTGGCTGCAGTCCCTAATATATCGTCACATCCTCCCCCGGGTAAATACTTTTGTTTTATGCATTTTTGTTTCAGTGTCATGAGGGGTGTCAGTGTCTTATCTGCGGCCACAGTAGAAGCTGCCGCATGAGTTGCATGCGCTGTTACCCAGACTTGCCCCAGCATTTTTTTAGTAAGTCATGTTATTTGTCCACCATGCTCAGTGTTTGTTCGGTGCATTTCCCATTTTTGCACATGGTGTATAACAAGATGTGCTTGCACTCGTACACAAATATTGCACCACATTTACTTTATATGTTGTTGGTATAGTTATATTAGTAACAGCTGTCAGTCTTGCAATGTAGTCATTTGGTCTCTTGAAGATCATATTATATTTGAGCATCCTGATGCATTGATGTATCACTCACTCATTCACCTCCGTGTTTAACCTTTAACGTCTAAAGTGCCCTGATTGGGCCAGTGATGAGTATGGTCGTCGTGGCCAAAGTACCCCGTTTTGGCCAGTCAGGCATTTAAACTCCGCTAGTGGAAGCACATGCACAGTCCTAAATATTTATTTTTAAGTGTAGTAATTACCAGACAGAATTGAGTAAAACCATAATAGAGGAATTAAAATGATACCTAAGTGAGCAACAGCAAAAAAGTATATACGTATGAGTTATGCCCAAACTCATTCACGAGCCAGTACTTTTATTGCAGATTCTGCAGATTAATGTGTTAAAAATATATAGTCAAATTTGATGTAAATACCTTTTCTGTTGTTATCTGCTTGATGTATATATAGGCTGAAATGAAACTACAGTATTCAATTTCACTATGAACGCACAGAAAACAGATCACACTCTGTATCTCAGCCACAATGTAACTATCTGTTGACGACCCTAGAAAGGGCAATAATCTCTTGCAGCTATAACGGAAGGTCTTAGCCATTCATTCTTCTGTCCTTTAGTCAAAAGATTCGAAAATCCGAAGAGTGTAAGCAGTGCTAGCATAAGACCAAATGATTTTATTGCTTCCATCTGTTTTATGACACCAGGGACTGCTAAAATTTGTCAAGTTTTACACGCAGAAATTAATTTATAATGCAGAACAACTCTGAAGAACTGGGAAACCATTTTAGCAGTATGCATCAAAATTAAAAGAAAAAATTGAAAATAGAGTATAAAAATTTTCAAATCTTCCGTTATAATATGCAACACTATGTTCTTTGCTGATACAAACAAAGTTAATTCCATCCATTCATCATAAAAATTGAGTTAGATACAGCATTTTTAAACAATCCTTTCAAGTCTACAATGCTTACAATTGTTTAAGCACCCTAACAGGAACGGACATTTAAACGCCGAGTAGCAACGTGCATTTAAATAAACTCTGGCCAGCTCAAGCTTGCCACCATTTCAGAAGTCTGGCTTTTAAAGGTTAATGCAACTTAAATCAGTTGCTACATGTTTCAGCACTACTTGGCTATCTTCAGCCAGTTGTTCTCGTTTTGAAACTGTTGCACTGCACAAGATTGTAAGGCAATATATTTCAGTGCTGCTACATGTTGTTCTTCACACTAAAATGTGTCTCGTTGAGAATAAAACTGTCTCTGTAGTCCACATTATTTTCATTGTGTGGCGTCCATGTTTCTGTAACGTATAATATATGTTTATTGTCAATGCAAAGATGTATCATTATTGTGTGAATTTACTATTTTTTTATTTGTATGTTATTTTATTATGTACTTATGTGCCCCCTTTATATGTATGTTCTCGCTAGTTTGGTGTATGTCCCTTGTATGGGAATTCAGTGTAATTGCTCTCATTTATATATCTTCTGGGTGTGTGCTGCAGTCTGTCGTAAATTCTTGTGATGTCTGAAATATGTGGTTGTATACGTATATGTCATTCATATGCAAGTTATTCCTACTGTTTTTATAAATGTGATATTTCTCGAAGGTATTCAAATGTCTGCTCTTCTTTCCTGTCCTTATAACATCCATGGTATGTGTTATTGTTCCATTTATTTTATTCTGTTCCCCCATACATCTTCATGATATAGCGCTTAGTCAAGGACAGGAAAGACTTTCCCAGACATTGAAGGTTAAAGTGATATGTCTTCTAACACAGTACTGGGTTCAGTTTGAATGATTCGTTTGCTGCAGATGTAGGAAGTTCGGCCCCACCAATTCCTGAGAGTAATGTTGGCAACCAGATGCTTCGTGGGATGGGATGGGAGCCTGGCACTGGGCTGGGCGCACACAGCAATGGTATCCAGGAGCCCATCATAACACCTGTCCGCCCAAAATACGTTGGTCTTGGCCACAAGCCAAACTACAAATCTAGTTGAAAGTTTAATCAGCTACATAGAGGTATAAATTGTGATTAATTTCAGAACTATGCAGGATACGAACTTCTCACACTAGCAACTATGAAGATTACTGTGTTCTATAATGTGACGCCATATAGTCTGGTAGATTCCCCCACCCCCCACCCCTCCTCTTAATGATGACAGCAGTTACAAGTATTACATGATGCTGTCAGTATCTAGACTGTATGATGTTGATAGATTCTTACCAGTGTTTCGGAGGAACCTTCTGCCTCCATCTTCAGAGCTTCTCTTGAGTGATCTACTTGAGTGCACAGTATAACATCCCTGAAAACAGTAATCTTCATTATCAGAACTAATGATAAAGCTGAGAAGTCAGTTTCAGAGAATAATAAACTAAAAATGTTTTACGAAACAGACAGTAATGGCATTGAATTTATTCATGTCGGTTGTGGAATACAACCCCATGTAATGTTTTTTTTTTCTCTCTCTCTCTGTGTAAGGATTCCTCTCATTTGACACTCAGTTTCAACAATCTGAGGATTAAATTTTTTCCCTTTAAGAATTTCCTCAGTTTAGTGATCAAATTCTTTGTTCCCTGAAGAAACCTTAAATGGTGGTTTCATTGTGTGTGGGAGGTAAGTTAATATTTCAGTTTGATTACAAAATTGTGATATTATTATATTTTTACAAGACCTGGCCTCTTATGATATACAACATATTCATGTGATTATTATTGTTACAATTTGTTATGTTATTTTTAAATATAATTTACTTTAAATTTTCATTTAAAACTTTGTAAAGAAATTATCCTTCTAAAGGCATTTGGTTATTGCTGTGTATTAGGTTTGCAGTCAGACTAAAATGTTTACTAATGGTTTATGGTTTATTTAATGACACACTCTGCAGCTAAGACTATATAACATCCTGTGGTTAGACTTTTAATGAACAAGGAGTTGTAAAGGGTGTGGAGGGAAATGGCTGTAGCCTGTTTGAACATACTGTCACATGTTGGGTATGTCACGCGACAAATAACTTCACGTGGGTCTCAGATTCAGCGAATCTTTATTGGACGTTCACTCTTACACACCATACAGCTATTATCGCCTGCGGTATCACTTGACTTCTGGCGACCAGGTTCCAACTGTGTTCTATGAAGGCTATTCCCAGACCGTCTCCTTCGGCGGTTAATTCCAGACTATCCTTCGACGGCTACTGTATTTCAACTAACTCTTGTCGAAGCTGGGCTTTTATAACCTTGGCAGTTGCTATGCATTGAACCTTCTGTTGTAACCGTGGAGACTCCTGTTAGAACTACAATACCGCTATTGTTATTTCCTATGCAACGGTCTATTCTACCGTTTCCATGGAAGTCTCTCTTCTGGGTTCCAAACATGTGACAGTACTATCAAGCTGTGTCTGGAGGAACTGAGGAAAACCACAAAAAAACCTCAGTTTACTAAGTGTCCCAGCCAAAATTCAAACTTGGCACCTTCCAGACACAACTGAGAAATGCTGCCACTTGAGACAACGCGGTTGGTGTCACTGAATATGGTGCATTGTTATTATACTTTGTCTCAGTAATTCTTCTGACTTCTTTCCTCAAAGGAAATACATCATAAGAGCCAGCCACTGGTCCCTGTCCTGAGCCAGATGAATCTAATCCACACCCTCCCACCCTGTTTCTATAAGACCCATTTTAATTTTATACTTCAGTTTGCATGACTTTTATATACTGATGTTGAAAACTTTCTGATTGACAGTTACAGTACCTGTGGATGTGTATTACAGTATCACAATTTCTACTGTGTAATTTTTCTTATGTACACTTTTTAAACTCATAATTTTATGTGAGATCACTGTGCAGGAATTCTATTAATAGGGCATAAGGTTTTAGTGATTGTGAAGAGCCATACTGTATTCTTCCTAGTTATGGATCCATCTTCACCCTGAAGATAGATCCATTGTGTCCTTCAGAAACATTGATAAGCACCTACAGAGTACATTGTGTCATATTATAAGAATTTCACAGTATGGATATTAAAGGTTTATGTTTCATGCTGCATTTCTTCAGTGCCATTACTCTGTCTGTCTTTACTCGATGTAAACTAACATGTTTTCCTTCCTTGCTAACTCAATTTTAACTTTTATTCAAATGGAAATGAAGAATATGAAAATATTTTATTTTAAAGCAAGAGTTTTTGACTTAGGATCAGTGATATATGGTAACATCTCAATCTTTTACATAATTCATTTCCACATGTGACACAAACAATGCAAATAAATGTAATGCATATGGGCTGTTCAGTAGGTAACATCTGAGGGCACATTGCACTCATATTTATTACTCCTGTATTTAAACAAAAAGTAAAGCTCTCCCTGTAACAGGTCATAGAGGCCCATAGAGTTGTGAGATGTCAGGGCTCAAACACTTTCAAGACAGTCAGCTCATAGATGGCAGTGAGATTGTCAGCCTTATGCACTGGCTGGCCTTTACCCCCCCCCAGGAAGATTCCTGATACTTATTTCTGTTAGAAGTTGAGTTGACCCCAGGACCATAATGCGGCTGGAAGGATAAGGTCAGTTGAAAATCCAGTAACCTCATTGAGAATTGAACTTGTGACCTTCTGGCTTGTAGCATGGGGCCTGAATCAGCAGTGCTACCACATGCCCCCTGTTACTTCTATATAGATATCAAAAAGGACTAGGAATACTGTACAGGCTGTCTGTATTTCCACATGATTGCTGTACAAATCAAGACATTTGTTCCAGCAATACACCAGACCTTCAATTCCTGCAGGGAGGAAATAAGGGCTCTGCATTTGCATCTCCTCACAAATATCAATGTTCATCTCATCATCATATGACATGTTTTCCTTTGAAATGCTTCTTCAGTTGAAATCACTAAGCACAAGGTCTGAACTCACTGGTGGGTGGACAGGCAGCTCATTTTGCAAGGAAGTTATTGACATTTTTGGACACATACAGAATTCTCACTTTTCAATTCCTGGACCAGAAAAACATGGCATTTTTCTGCTGTAAGTGCCTCATTCACTGTTACAGTTAAAATGGAGAAATAGATCTTGTCCATTATTTCGTGTACTCCTGGACACCTGTGTTGTAACAAGTGCAAGTGTGTAATAGACCTTCGAGATGTTATTTACTGAAGACCACTGATACACGAATTTTGTATGACAATCGAGGTTTCATTTTTATGAAATCATTAATACACCATTCTGTGAAAATGGTATTATTTCAGTGAGAACATTATGTATTAATATATTTATATTTAAAATGTTTTGTTATGATTTAAGCTGTACCTGTATATATATGAACGTGTTGCAAGAGGTATACATGTGTCAGAGGCTTTCAGCTGGGTTCTCTTAAATACAGCATTTGGTGAGGTAACATTTTTGGTTTAATATAATACAGAATGACTGGAAGCGAATTATTGTAGAAATATAGATTTTAAATTCGTGTAGTTTGACAATAGAATCATATTGTATGAGACTCTGATGTGTCATTGTTCAGTGAATAAATGAAAGAGCCATTATACATGCACACCTTATAAAATTATCTGTATTAAAAAGAGTACATATTTTAACAGAATTTTGACCGACATTTCAGAGAATAAATGCAGTTAAAATGTATTAATGTAAGGGTCAGTTACTGAATACGCATTGTGACCGAACATATTGGTTTAGCAGTAACACTGTATGCTTGTATTCTGGAGCTGTTAGGTTCAAATTTTGGGTGGGACATCAGCTACTATGACTGAGGTTTTTCATGCTTTCCCTCAGTTTGTCCAGGCAGATTTCTGGGATAATACCATGATTAGGTCATGGCTGCTTTCTTCCAAATCTTTGCAGTTCATCACTTCAATGCTATACCATCTAGCTTCTGACAGTGTCATAAAATCACTGAAAAATACTCAGGTTTATGCAGTAAACAAGTACACGTAATATTCACTTATTTTAAAGGATTAAATTATGATAGATTTAAGTATTGTGTAAGCAGAGAGTTTCAGTCACTTCCTCTCATATTAATAAATTGTAACTGCGATTTTCATCTGTTATGAAGCAATATTTTTAGTGCAGCTTATTATTAGTATGTGTGTGTGTGTGTGTAATTGTGTAATTGTGTTTTTGTACAAGCTGGTTACTTTATTTATTCGTTGATTAATTTTGCTTATGTTTCTGCTTTTATTCCTTTTGCCTTAATCTCATGCTTTGACATCATGAAGCTAAGGGATGTAGACAGCAGTATCCACATTTCTGTCATGTATTTACCTTCCCTTCACACACACATTTCACCTACTCATTTTATTCATGGTCACAGGGTTCTGTGGACATCCGCAGGGGATTAAGAAAGATCAAAAGATTAGTTAAATACTTCGCATATATGGATCTTGAATTTTTTTAGATTCAACTGAGAAAAGAATCTTGATCTTGATTTTAGTGTTGATTTTTTTTTCAGTCTTGAACTTTCAAAATTTACAGATAATTGCTGTTATTCTGTACAGAAGGACCAAAACTTCCTGATCCATCAGAATTGTAATTTTTGGCAATGTTAGCACAGATCAGCTTGTCAACAAAGTCTCTCTCCCTCTTTCTGCCCATTGTGACAAAAGGACACAGCCCCAGAATAGATTTTTTAAAACAACAATTTTTGCAGTGTTTTTATTAAGATTGTTCTGATATCAGAGAAGAGGAACAGTCTGAAGAGGTGGTTAGTGTTGTAAATTGTGATTGCAGTTAAAACAAATTGGTGTAGCATAGAAAACTCATTGTTATCTTGATTCCTGAAGTGTTTCCAGATTCTCATCTCAGACTGAATAAGTTTTCTCACACTTCTGTTAAATACATTTATTAAGCTGACAGTTTCAGACAGTTTCATAACTCTCCTAAAGCTTCTTAAAACCTCATGTTTTTTTGGTTCAATCTTCTTATTGCGGGAAAGATAACCTGACCTGCTCCCATAGTTTGAATGCAGTAGAATAAATACCGTTATGTGGGAGATCAGTGCATAATCACATGGCCAGTGTGCAAAAATTGGAACCATATGGATGGATGGTTCCTAAGTTAGGAGTGAAGGACAGGTATACATGATGATCTCACAAACTGATTTCCCTTTGGGTAACCAGAGTAAAGAAATCCAAATAAAAGCATACAAATCCTTGAGAACCTCAAATTGGATGTGGTTGTGAATCTGAGTTTGTATTTCATATGCTAAAGAAGTGTTACAGAAAAGCTGTAGATCATGTTTTCGTTTTTATGTATGGTTGTATTTTAATTTTCATAATACTTGTTTTAATTTATTCTGAACCATAATGTTTTTATCCCACATATTTCATAATGGCTATATATGTATTATACCCAGAACTGGCTCTAAGTTTATGAGGCTTTATGCTGTATAGCAGTGGAAACAGGTTTATTCATGAAGATGCTGTCTTCTGGGATGTGTCACCATGTAGATCTGCATGGTTCCGCATCCCAGAATACGGCATTCTTCATAGTCATCGATGTGAAAATGTCAGATCCTACACAGGTTTATTCATGTTCAATATTAAATTTCATATTAACTCTGTTTGTAGTCAGATGTAGTAGATATGTAAAACATTTTTATATCTCTTAAAAATTGGTGCAAGAATTTTAACTGATTGATGTACTCATATAATGAAATTCCATATCAAAAGGGAAAATTTTTATAATTGTGCTGTTAGCTTTACTTTGTAAGCATTTTGATGTAATGTTTAATTTATGGATATGATATTTGCTGTTTCCTGTGTAGATCTAGTGTATTTTATAGATAGAATTTTCATTCATTGGTTATTTACATTGCATGTGTGATTCTGTAAAGAGCATCATCATGTAGTTTATATCATGAAAATAGTGGGACATGAGTGTTCTTGTGTTTTCAAGCCCTCTTATTATAATTATTATCTTTAGCACAGTATTTTTGGGGTTGGATTAGCTTATATCTTATAATTTATTTTTAATGTGGTCTTTATTATTTGGGGATATTAACTGCATATTTTGAGGAATTAAGCTTAAATTTGAAGTTCTGTATTATGGATTGTGTTTTGCATATTATGAAGGGCAACCAAGTGAATGAACTGTATGTAAGAAAATTTAATATTCTTAAATTACTGTATATAATGCTGAAGTTTTATGAATGTAGGTTGTTGTATTTTGAACAGATTTAAATCTTTTTGTTTGTGTAATAAGATGGTAGAATGATAAGCATATTTAGGGAGTGTTATTTTTAGCACAGTATTTTTGGGGTTGGATTAGCTTATATCTTATAATTTATTTTTAATGTGGTCTTTATTATTTGGGGATATTAACTGCATATTTTGAGGAATTAAGCTTAAATTTGAAGTTCTGTATTATGGATTGTGTTTTGCATATTATGAAGGGCAACCAAGTGAATGAACTGTANTCCCCCCCCCCCCCCAAAAAAAAATTATGGCTGTGGTGAAAGAGGAAAGAAAATTTTTACTGTAATATAATGACTTTATGAGATATCTGTGAAGTTTTTTAAAGTGACTATTCACATTTCTTTAATTTTGTGTGTATGTTTTAGTTTATCACCATATTAACATAGTGAATGTTGTTTCAAATTCTTCTCCCATTTTCACAGGTAATGTATAATTTGAAAATTCGACATTCTTTTAATAATAAAACAACAAATAGAAGTGAATCTCATAATGCAATTAGGAGAAAAATAGATGTAATATCTACCTTATCACAGTCACTCACGCATGGATTACCTTGCCCAAAAATTATATCACGGGAAACTGTGCATGTAAACAACAGTCATGTGAAAACTTTGTTTTGATTTGAATGATTAGCAATGAAAAAAAAAACAAAATGTAAGAACCGCAAAAATGGTGTGCAGTCATTATGAATTTCATGAAAGTTCTCTCAAGATTTCAGTTTACAAAACACATGAACATGTATAATTAGAATCTATCATTTGTCAGAAACGTTTTTTGATGTGTACAAGTAAAATTTAATTTGTACGCTTGTGCAATATTGGCCTTCTGAGGGACCTGTCTGAATCACTGTTGCCTGTAAACTGACCCCTATACCTCTTAATATACCACACATCTCAAATGTTTTCTTTCTTTTTGGGTTCGAAGTTCCCTCAGAAGTGACTATGAAGAGGGCTTTGTTTTGGGATGTAATGCTGTGTGTATTTTGGCGGAAGTCATCACACATTTCAGAGGAACATACAACTTCTACAGGGGATGGACAGAAATATGGAAACACCTCGTGAAATGCATGCCTGAATTGAAGTGTTTATTTTAGCGACGTTTGTAGGTCACGCTGCCGTATCTGTCCAGCACCATTACCTGTACAAACTCCGCAATACGTTGCAAGCTTCATTTGTTGTCGAGACAGTGTTCTGTGCAGTTTTTTGAGCATCACGT